GGAGTTGGGTTTTTGTTTTTTTGTTTTTTGTTTTTTGAGAAGCACTTTGCAGATTAAATATAATTTACATTAAAACCTTCTGTTGTGTGTCCCTTTATTTTATCCTAAATGACTGAAACTGGGAATTTTGGATCCCGGTCAGTGGGAGAAAAGCATGGGTGGAAAACTGAAGGTCTGAGGACAGGTCGAGTTCAGCCAGATAATCCAGAGGTCATGTCTGAATCAGTCCAGCTCATCTTCCTTTTGCTTCAGACTTTTTAAGAGCAATAAACTCAAAGGGTTAGCCAGTCAGATGGATGTATGAGCATAAATGTGTGAAGAACTCGCTAAAGATCCATACAAAAGGCTGGAGCTTCAAATCTGACATGCTCTCTGACCTCCACGTCTTCATCATTGACTGATTCTCATTGAGGGCTTCCCTCATCTTTGGGGAAGTTTTCTACTCATGAGAAAAGAAGTACAGTCAATCTGATCTTTATTTCCTCCTTTAGAGGTCAAAGGGTTGGTGTCAGCTGCATTTAAAGAACTACAAAAGGCTCTTTTTGGTTTCACGGTCAGGCATGAGGCTTTCTATGGCTGCTGCTTCAGCTTCAGCAGGTGCTCCCATCACATCTTCCTGCTTCCTCAGTTTATTAATGATGTTAGGAGGCAGAATGGAGTGTGCAGACAAACCCTCAGACTGAGGCCTGCAGTTCAAATAATTTGATGAAGCGTGGCGTCTGTACGCCTCAGCAGCCCATCTGTGCAGCAGAGTTAACAACAGAAGGCTGACAAATTATTAATATTTTTAGTTTGATTCGCTCTTCAGTGAGCTCCATAATGTTCGTGATCTTACATGAGAGAAGAAAACTGAAGGAATTAGAGTGCACAACACAACTGCAGCAACTTAAAAGCAAAAATTTACTTTAAAAGAAAATTCAACAAAATAAGAAAAGAGGGGTTTCCAGTTACATGTTTGGATAAATTTCCTGCAGACGTCTGAATTGAACTTTAGTCACACAACTCGCACATGCTGTTATCGGACAAAAGGTGGCGCTGTTCTTAAACCACAGCTGAGGTGGGTTTTTAAACTGTCACACAATCCATGTAGATGTATAAGAATAGAAAACTGGCTGTGTCAATTTAACAAGTTCAGAGTGTGAAACTTACAGTTTTCTATTTTCTCATTTTTAATGTAAATGCTTTTATTTTCTCATAACTCGAGTTTTTATTTAATTAAAATATTTTTTCGCATCTAGTTTTGGTTAATGATAACTAGCCTGATGTTAAACAACAAGCTGGGCTTAAACAATGAATACAGGACAGGAAGTGACTCATATGCATCATTAAATTATTTTTTGGTGAGCAACACACGGTGGTGTTAAATGGAGACCGCTTCGTTTTTGTTGGCAGACGTGAACTTAAAACATCAAAGCAGAAGTTGTAAAAACTCTTTGTGGACAGAGAGAGATGGGGGAGCTGTGAGACTTCACTTATAAACAAATGCTGCTGCAGAGCCCGTTTGTGTACACGAGAGAAAATAATGTACTAAAGCCAAGCTCTGTTTCACTGGCTGCTCAAAATACAGTTTCAGAGACAAGTCTGAGGTTTACCCGCCAAATAAACAAAAATCTCCCTGCATCACTCGATGCTCGTGCTGCAGTCTGCCGCTTGTTTTTCAGAGAGAAACAAAGCTGGAAGAGGCTAAAAAGTAAAGATGTTTCTGAGCTATCACGTGTAATTTAGAGAGTAGCTCTTTATGCAGGGGAAAGTTTAGAAGAATGATTTGTCGCATCCACACAGACTCTGTGCAGGTCCAGCAAACTGCAGCACTCTTCATGGCTGTTTTCTCTCACAGGTGATGTGTTCGTTCAAGATGATGAGATATAGATACAACTCATCCAGAAAGTGTTTACAGAGCTTCAGTTTTTCTACATTTTGTTGTATTTAAACTGTATTTTTTATGTTTTATTTTTAATAAATAGCACGCTCACGCAGACTTTTTTCCATGTTGTCATTTTGGAGTATTGTCTGGAAAATATTGAGGCGAAAAAGGCAAAATGTGGAACAACTGAAGCGTTGTCAGTAGTAGTGAAGGGAAACAGCCATGAAGAGTGCTGCAGTTTGTTAGACCTGATTTCTGTCCCATCAATGAAGTCTGCAGAGTTTTCAGACCTAACACAGAGCAGAGCACACACATGGTCAGTCTTAACGAGCTGTTGTTTTAATGCAACATGAAGTCATTAAAAACATTCAGTGTTTGTTCATTTATGTTTACAACCTCTACTTTTTCAACTTTTTGTAAATACTTGAATCAGGACAAGTGAACTCTGTGTGTTTTCTGGGACTAAGTAGATTTTCAAAGTGACCTTTGAGTGACTCAAAAGTATCTGTAGGATTATTTTGTGTCTGTGTTGCGGCCTCCTCCTGAAGGTGCCTGTGTGGGCGTGTCCTACAATCTCTTCTGCCTGAGGTGCCATCTTTCTCTTTTACACAGCTGACTCACATCAGTAATTAAAGGTATTTAAGCCCAGGGAAAGGTGAGCTCTGGGCCAGAGTGCCATGTTAGTGGTTGCAGCTGGTGAGCTGGGTTTGGTGATTGTTTAGTCCTGCCAGTGTTTGGTGACTAAACTCTTTTTTTGACTTACTCTTCAGTTTATTGACCAAAGCCTGAGTTTTGTTTTGTTTCTTTAAATGGTGATAGCGGCTCGACAGTCTCTTTTAGTTAGTATTTGATAGAAACTTTAATAAAACTCTTTAACCAGTTTGCCTCTGTCTCCTTTTTCTGACCCGGACACTTTTTGTTACTTCCCCTTCATCGCCTGGACCCTTTTAGGGGAACGTAACATCTACACTAAATCATTGTGTGTTTATTAATAAGCTTAAAAAGTTTGGTGTTGTCTTCTATCTAAGGGCTGCGTGATTCCTTCTTGACAAGCAGAAATGTGAAAAAACTTCAGCTTTTATAGGCTCGAATAAAAACTTTAGATTTAAAATCAGCTTTAAAATCATCTCGGCTCTTTTTGAGAAATCTTCATCGGTGTCGTCCTGCTTCAGAACTACTAGAACGTCTTCAGCTCATCCCGTGTCATTTCCTTCAGAGTGTTTGAAAGAAATAGTTTGTAATTTAATTTTCACATTAGTTAAAGTTTACAAGAAAATTCCAAAAGGTTGATTCTGTCCATCTGGACATAGCACAAGTCCATTGATCAAAGACCACTGATCAATGGCTATGAGTACCATTCACACAGAGTTGGGGAATCGCTGCAATCGCTTCATTGTAAGGTGGCGAAAGATGTACCAGAAGTCATGGCAGAGCCTCCGCCGTGTTTAACACATGGCTGCAGACACTCACTGTTGGACCTCCCTCCTGGCCTCCTCCATACATACTGACAATAATGCGAGTCAAATGTGTGTCTTTTTTAGACCACGGTCGTTCAGATTTTAGGATTTTTTTCTGTTGCTCCTGTCGAGCAGAAGATGGAATGACCCAACAGCGATATTTCTTTATCATGCAGAAAAACTGAGGTGCACAGTTAAAACTCCACTTCTTTGCCTTATATTAAGATGTGTTGGTGTAACTGTGTAGTTACACTGACAGAAAGGTCAGTTTCACTGGTCTGATTCACTTAACATCAAAGTGGCCTATGACATAAAAGGAGTCTGACATCCCTGCTCAAACACAGAAAGAAAAATCAAAGTAGCACTAAGTGAGTGGTGGCATTGCACAGTGCACTAGGAAAAATGTCTCTATGAAACACCATCAGAATAAGCATGAGGAACAAGAAGGTGACACTGAAGAAAAATGTTATGGATGAACTGGACAGTCATGATATTTCCTGTAATAATGTATTTAAACTAGTGTAGTGCCATTTTAAAGGTTTCTATATTCTTTGATAATATCAGTGAGAAAATTGAAACCATGTCTGCTCCATTTTACAAAAAGAGAGGATTAGAAAGTATGAGATCGCTGATGGTGAAAGACGCGCCTTGGTGAGTCTAAATGTAGAAAAACCACACCTGCATTTAAATGAGTTTATCTCCTGCTAGCTGCATGCAAAGTTAGAACGGTTACCGTCGCAGTTTGGATCCCCACACTCGACATGCAAGTAAAACATGATCTGCTGGAGGGAGGAGATGTTTGAAAAATGACTGTCTGTGTGTTATTAAGACCCTGAAGGCTGAAAACCAGTCTCTCTCTGACACCTCTCTCTCTCTGATTGTTCGGGAAGGTTTTGCTTCTCTAGAGTTTAGACCAAACCCTGAACTTTTAGAGTAAAATATGACACCGAAGCTCATGTGCAGTGGTCACCGGCATGGTCTTAAATAAGCTCAGGCCAAAGTTACCTGTTCAACCATGTAACTGAATGCTGAGAATAAATCTGTCAGGGAACACCATACTGAGCGTAAAACTGTGGCCCGTCTGTGACACCTTCCACAAGATCACAACTAACAACACACAAATTCTGAAGCTCCTGCATCAGGGTGTCAAACTCTTTTTGGCTCATGAGCCACACAAAGACTTCAGAATTGTGTAAAAACTTATTTCCCACGTCCGTTATTCACTTGGACTTTTATCATTACAAAGAAACTAGATGTTCCTTTCTTAAGCACCTTATTTCAGTGTGATGTGGCAAACTGCAGGCTCTAAGTTTGAAGGCTGTAAAACTGATGATAAAATAAACAATTCAAATAGCCCCATATGACACCATCTGTTTAACGACTGGAGACCCAATCCTGATGCTGGGGGACATGGGGTCGGTGAAGGGTTGATTACATTTTTGTGCTATTCAGCGGGCCACACTGGACCCTCTGAATACTACAAACTATATTAACCCCTGAACACTCCCATCAGGTTAACAGTGAACCACTCAAATGTTGGCTGAGGGTTTGGTGTGATAAGTCTGTCACAGTCATCTGGACCTTTTGTTTTCAGATGTCCACTTAGGGGTGATAAATAAATAAAGGCGGAGAAGCTGACGACTCTATGACAAGTCTCACGCAGTTGAAAGGATGATTGATCAGATCTGACAGTTGTCATAGACAGGACAGATGATGAGCGGAGTGGAGTTTTGGCCACCATGAAGAGTCCCGGGGCTGAAGAAAGGGCGGAGTTTCTCTTTGAAGGAGCAGTCAGTGTAGCAATGAATGAGTTGTGCGGACTCAGCATTATAAAAAGAGACCGAACAATTCTCATAATCCACAAACACTCCCACTTTCCTTGGCTGAGAGTCCACACTGAGATGGACACGTGAGGCTTTGTACTCTCCTGCCCTTAAACATATTATCCAGAAGCTGTTCTTAGGGCTCACATACATTGATCCCTTCCTATTTATTGACTCTTTAGCGACACCTAGATCCCAGGAGGTTTTCTCCTTAACCTGAACTTCATAGTAAAAGCTTTCTGAAGAGAAGCTCTGCTTTCCCACAACATTAATAGCACGGTCAAATCTTTCTGGGTTGTTTGGGAGAGTTTGTGTTATGTCACCACAGTGAACTTGCTTCCCGTCCTCAGACAGGATGAGGTTGGGATGTGCTGTGTCTGGATCCAGTGTCACATCCACTGCAAACTGCCGGAGCCTGTTCAGCTCAGTCACAGCGAGAAACATCTCCATGTCTTTGCTGAGTTTTTCCTTCAGCTGAGTCACAGTGCTTATCACAGTTTCTTTGTAAGATGGCTGGGGGAACCTGGCTTCTGTCAGCATCTCGTTTGTGAACGAGAAGCTTGGCAGGAACTCACGTTGGTCTTTGGTAAGCTGCTCCGCCTCTGCGCTCCTCTTGGTCAGCTCAGAGATTTCCTGCTCTAGCTGCTGGATTAATCCTCCAGCCTGTTTCTGTGTCATTTTCTGCTTTTCATCGATCTCTCCGATGATTTTATCCAGACTGCTCTGGACAGAGGCCACCAGAGCTTCAAATGCCCTCCTGCTCTCTGAGGTCTGTCGCTCTGCAGACTTCCTGCTGAGCTCTGCTGTGCGTCTGACTTCATAGATCTTTATCTGCTTCTCCTTGATCCTCAGATCAATTCGGGCTTTCATCTCCCTCAGTTTGGCCCTCCTTGTCTCATCATCACGTGGGAGCGCTGCAGAGATCTTGTGGTCTAAAACAAGCCAAAGCAGGAAAAGCTGTAAACAACTTTTTTATTGAGGATTTTTCTCGAGCTCTATTAAATGCAATCATTCATGCAACTAATGTGAACCTTTATTTTTCAGCTCTTCATATTTTTTTACCTTCATTTGACTTGTTTGACAAATCCTGAACCAGATCATTTCTGTTTATCTTCCTTAAGATCTTCATGGTTTTTTGCACAGCTCCTGAGCAGTGGTATTTTTGCACCATCAGATCGATCATATCCAACCTGTCCGCTCCTTCCAGTCGGGCCTCTGCGATGGCTGGAAAACCGTTTTCCATATCCCCCTCCTTCAGGAACCACTTAAAGTTCTTGAACTCTTCAGCTGTCAGACGCTCAAGAGTGCGCCAAAGAGCTTCTTTAGTAGACGTCATTGTGGCTTCCTGATAAACCAAAAAGCAGAAATAGATGGGATGTTTGTGTTATTCTTGTATGAATATGAGCATTACGCTGCTGTGATAAAAGCTTCTTCTTGTGAATTTGTCTGCTCGCATACTTTAAATAAATATTAGAGCAATATTAAAGTGCAGTTAAGACCTACAATGATTCAGTTTGCTTTGATTATGTCCTAAGTTTAGATTTTGCAGTGTTGATAGCCTTCTGGATTCTTAACAAATGCAGCAGTGACACCAGATCACCGGATGCAAACTCAGTGTTTTTAGTCCTTTTCTCGTTTTAGGTGTCAGTCTCTGTGCTGCTGTGTGTGTTTTTGTTCACTCCACACGAGTGAACATTTACAACTATGCATGGACTAATTTGATTGAAATTTCCACTAAATGTAGGAAAAATTGCTCATTTACCTGATTTATACAGCAAAGGTTTGGGTGTTTTCTTCTAAAGAAAAGAAGACAATCATCTGTGTCGGGCTCTGTGTGACGAGTCCTGACATGCTGAGTCTCAGAGAATCCAGATTATGTTACAGTTCCTTGCATTTTTCTTTACTGCTCCACTGAAATGAATCATTACATTAAATATTTAAGTCTTTTTGACTTTTTTTTAAGTTGAAATCTTCTTACCACTTCCAACGTGCCCAGAGAAAGTCACCACAGCTTGCTTTCCTTCCCTGCTTCTTACACGTCACATTCACAGCCTGAAAAATGTCAGTATGACATCACTCCAGACTGTCCTATGAGCTGCGCTTCATTTAAATGGTACCCCAGGTTGTTACACTCCATGTGTAAGACGTGTACGGGCAGACCAGACTGCACTATAAGAGTGCAGGAACAGGAAGGAGAGCATGTGAGCACATGGGGAACACCTAAATCCAGCAGATATTTTCTAAAAATAAGAAAACACTCAGTGAGAAGACAAAGAATGAAACATTTAATATTTCATTAAAGAATAAAGCTTAAAATGACCCCCAGTTCTTTTGACAACGTATATCATCTCCAGCCAAACTTTGAAGAATAGTTAGATGGACCTTCAGCAAAAGGGAGAAGGTCAGGGTGGATGGAGGGTTCAGAAGACCATTGCTGAATAAATGATGGGAAAAACAAAACTGGCAGAGAAAAACCAGCAACGACTCAGAGACTCAAGAAGGCAAAGAAGTGGAGAGCTGATCCAGAGCAGTTCAAGGGTTTTTCAAACATCCCAGTTTTATTTTAAATGCTCACATTATTTTCTTTACACACAGAAACACGTCTCACATGTCCCGTGAATCTCTCCAGTTCCTTCAGATTCAATGGCCTTCTGGTACGGACCTTGGTCTTCAGTTCACCTCACACATTTTCAGTGGGAGTGAGGGCTTTGTGGAGGTTAGCCAGTAACGTTTACAGTATTCCCACCAGCGTGGTTCAATGTGGGGACGCTCTACTTCGGGTTGTACTTCTCTCGCTTTTCTCTTTAAAAACAACATAAGCTGCGTCTCTGTGACCAAAGAGCTCCAGTTTGAGCTCATCTGAGTAATGTACTCACTTCTAGCATGAATAATCTGTCTCCAGGTTGTCCTTAGCACACTTTAGTCTCTTCTGCAAAAGTGGAGTTTTTCTTGGTCTGTGACCTCACAGTTAATTCCTGTGCAGAGTCTGAGTGATTGTTTTCATTAGCCTTAGCTCCTTCATGAGTGTCTGGGCAGTTGTTCTGAAGTTTTTAGATGTCTCTCACTTGTTTTCTTTCCAAGGTCTTTAAAAATTTTTTGCATCCTACATCTGCCAGGCTTGTTCTGTACTGTGTGGCTCTCTTTGAATGACACTTCTCACTCCAGTTCCTGACACTTAGATATCAATCTCCTCCTGTATGAGCATCTATTCTTTTAATTCAAGTCTAAACTGACGTCTTTTGTTTTAGCATTGATGCCTTCTTAGTAACTACGGAGCCCCGCAGGGGACATGAGAGAAAAAAAAATTAAGACGGACTTGATCTCGCAAAACAAACTCGGGATCTCGCAAAACTTTTAGTCGCCAGCTCTAAGCCGACCGGGAGGTCGAGGCACGATGTGCCGGGAAAGCGGTGTTCCTTCCGGCTGTAGTAGGTCTCGACCTCCCGTTAGCTTCTTGATGGTGGGTGTCAGATCTCCGAAAACGTCGGAGCACTTTTGCAAATATGTGATGTCTTGTAAACCGAGCAGATATCTGACGTTTACACAACTACATTCACGCCTCAAAATATCTTAAAAGTGTATTTTGTGACCCAGAAAGAGTAATATTACAACTAAGTAGCTGCCGCCATTGTTGGAATTCAACTTTTGTGAGATCTCGCAAAAGTTTTGCGAGATCCCGAGTTAGTTTTGCGAGATCTCGCAAAAGTTTTGCGAGATCCCGAGTTAGTTTTGCGAGATCCCGAGTTAGTTTTGCAAAGTGATTGTAGTTACTTAATTTTTACACTGTTTGCTGGAAATTAATACCAGTCTGAGAGGCCATTAGTTTATCGTTTTCTTCCATTTTCCACTGCTTCCTTTAGGGGTCACTACCGCGGATCATCTGCCTCCATCTCACCCTGTTGCTAGAATCTTACCCTCTGCATGAACCTCTTCTACTTTTAACTTAACCTGATGTTTGGTAAAAGCCCAAACAGGTGCTGAAAATTAAAGGTGAGCTGGGAATGATTTGGACTTTTTAAATTACACTAAAAGGTTAAAATAGTTGTGATGATAATATGTGTAATAATCTACTGACACATAAGGTGGCTGATTCTGAGATGAGTGAGAAAATAAGTTGTACCTCTGTGTGTGGGTGTTAGGGCAAAACCAGAGGGAAAAACTCACTAGGGTAGAACAGAAAACCCAACAGTGACTGGAGAAATCCTGGAGGGGTAATCGGGTACAAGGAGGCAGGTGCACTGATTGGGAAATTGGGAACAGGTGAGGAGTGAAAGCCTGGGGAATAGAGTGGACCTGGGAGAGGCCTGAGTGAGTGAGTGAGTGAATGAATGACAGAACGGAAACAGAAGGTAATGTGAATGATTAATCTGCCATCTGCTGGTTTACACCGAGATGTAATTTGCTGCTCGCTGCTTTGTTCTCATTTATTGTCGGATGTGTGATAGAGGAACCAGGAGGAACACTATGCACAAATTCGGGCACACAAACACATGAAACAAGAACCTGAAATAATTTTATTTTCAGTGTGGTGGCCTGGTGTCTTCAACTATGTATAAAAGAACTGGGGTCTAAATTGTGGTTTGGTGATCTGATTTTACCCTCAAACCAGGCTCCGCTGATGTGGAAATGACTTTGTGAGGGTTCAGGAGTTTACGTTTGAGTGAAAATGTACCAAGCAGCCTCTAAGCTTGGTAAAATGTGGAAACCCCAGAGAAGCAAGGTTGTCTCTTTCCTTACCCACCTACCTAAAAGGGAAAAAACAAAAAAAGTCCTGCAGCTGGAATCAGAAACACCCACTGTATTATCCCTGCAACTGAAAGGCACCTAATCAGGATCTTCTGGCTTTTGTTACAGGTTATTTAAGACTAAAGAACCTTCTCGTGCTTAAACTAATCCCATTAATCTTGCTGGAATTTTGGCTTAGTGGCTTCTTCTTGGGTAAAGTTAGATTTATATTGCTGGCTTTGCTGATGTCGGGCAGAAGATCATTCAGATCATCTGATGCTGCTTTACAAGTATAAAACTGATCCAGATGGATGTGAATGTTTGAACACATCCATCCATCCAACAGCAGTTGACTTATCAGAAGTCAGAACTTACCGCTGAAGTGAAACAGTTTGTTTATCCTCCTTTATCCTAGTTGTTGAAGTATCATTCAGATTCTCGTCTCAGCCGAGCAGTGAGTTTAAACATGAGCTCTTTCCATATGTTGATCTTAATTTTATCTGATTATAGTAAACTGGTGGGGGAAAAAAACGAGGGAATCCTGCAGGGAAAATGAAAATTTAAATAAAAAAAGAGGAAAAGAGAGAGGAGATGTGGAAGCAGGATGAGGAGGGTGCAGTGAGGGACACACCCTGAATGGGTGGAAACAGTAGAGCAGGCTCGTGTGTTTACTGATCTGACAGACTGTGTGTTCACTGTCCAGGAAGCTCGAGTCCTCTGAAGCAGGCGGTCAACGTGAATCGAGGGGAAAACCATGGCTGTTAACAAGTGTGTCAAATACCTTCTATTCTTCTTCAACCTTCTTTTTTGGGTGAGTATTTAAGACAACTTGAGTTCTTACAGTTTATTCACAGGTGATGGATTGGGCAGGTGTTTACAGGTGGCGTCTGAGTTTTTGAGGCTGTTCAACAGATTTCAACTGAGTCTGATTTAAAAGTTTGCAAATCTGCTGGTTTTATTTGATTTGTGGTTGAAGCGCTCAGTTTATTTGATTTGGGCCTCGTCCCTAAATCAGTTTGACAACTGGCACAGTAGGTGTGGCATGCTGGTTTAGGAAGCTGTGATGCAACTTTCAATAATAAAGTTATTTTTTTAATCTATTTATTTATTTCCAATATATTTCTACTTTTTCTAACTTGATTAAGATTTTTCTTAAATTTGGTCTCTTTAACCCCGTCTTTCCCTTTTCTGCATTCTTTGTGTGTCCTGACCTCCCTCTGTCTTTCCGTCAGTTGAGTAAAACGGGTTGTATCAGATTTTTCTGGCTTCACAAACAGGCATTTGTTCGGTTTCTGGGCATGGCTGTCCCCTCCGCCCCTGAGTTGAACAATTCAGCATGATGGCGCTCCCTGGATTTTTTTTTTTTTTTTTTTTTTTTTTTTTTGTTTGTTTTTAAACATCGCTGTA